GTGTGTGTGTGTGTGTGTGTGTGTGTGTGTGTGTGTGTGTGTGTGTGTGTGTGTAGCTCTCATCAGAAGCAATACTGACACAATTTGAATATTATCTATAGCTCCAAGAACCAGTTCCTCAGTGTGGATTCTACTGTAAACATTTAAAACCAGTGGAGTTGGGTGGGACTCAGGAAATATTATAGCAGGAAATCAAAGGTCTTTGAACTACCATTCAGTCTTTTCTCCTCCCCTGAAAATCCTTCTAGTTTTGCTAGTACCAGTAAGGGGGATATTGACTTTTTGTCCCTACTGTCAGGTAACTTCTTCCCCAACAAATTAAAATCACCTTTTTTATCCGGCAGTTTGGTTTTGGTCTGACAGTACAATCAGTGGATATTAAATAAGTATATGATAAGCTCATCACTAGCTTAGACTCAATAGGGTGTGATTTTTCTTTTTTTTTTCTAATTTATTTTATTTTTGGCTGTGCTGGGTCTTCGTTGCTGTGTGCAGGCTTTTAGCTGCGGTGAGCGGTGGCTTCTCTTGTTGCGGAGCATGGCTCTGGGCGCGCAGGCTTCAGTAGTTGTGGCTTGCGGGCTCTAGAGCACGGGCTCAGTAGTTGTGGCGCACGGGCTTAGTTGCTCCATGGCGTGTGGGATCTGCCCGGACCAGGGCTCAAGCTTGTGTCCCCTGCATTGGCAGGTGGATTCTTAACCACTGCACCACCAGGGAAGCCCTTTTTGTGTATGTGTGTGATTTTTCTTGATATATACTAGGTTGGCCAAAAAGCTCGTTTGGGTTTTTCCGTAAGATGGAAAAACCCGAACGAACTTTTTGGCCAAGCCAATACATCGTTATATTGGGTACCACACCTAGTAGTAAATGCAAAAACTTAGCACAAGCTTACCTGTCATTCCGAAAGATCTTTGGTAGATACCTTCTGGGGAACCACATGGCCAGAGCACACATCAGAACCCAAAGGATTGCAAGTTCATCAAGCATCTGACCCAGGAAACTAAGGGTTGCATGGAAGTAGACGGATCCAATTCCTAGAATCAATTACAACCAATAAAAAAGGTCACATAGAAGAAAAGACTCACAAATTCAATACACTGCTTAAGGATAGCCCTTTCACAAACAGCAATGATCAGGTCACTCTATCTCTCTGAGAAAAGAAACTGAAGGAAGAAACTCACACCACCTAGGCATGCAGACTTCAAGTCTAGAAAGAAGATTTGAAGAAGGGCCCAAACACCAGCACATCAGATCTTTTTTTTTTTTTTAACATCTTTATTGGAGTATAATTGCTTTACAATGGTGTGTTAGTTTCTGCTTTATAACAAAGTGTATCAGTTATACATATACATATGTTCCCATATCTCTTCCCTCTTGCGTCTCCCTCCCTCGCACAGATCTTCAATAACTGCACAAACACACTCTGTCTTCATCCACCTGTTCATGGGAACAGGCAGTAAATAAAAGTCAACATTCTCTCACTGTTAAGAATTCCCAATCTGCCTGTGGAAGGAAATGAAAATTATACAAGTATTTCCCAGAATAATGAAGGATCAAACATTTGATCCTTCATTTGTTTTCTTTTTTTTATTTTAGTCCATTAGAAACCACAGTTTCATCAGACTTCAATTGTTTCAAATGACTTTCTTCAGAAGTTCACAGAAAACTGCGCTGGCACAACACCCATAGCTATTACATAAATGAATTCTCAAACGCAATTGTGATAACTACGGTCAACCTTGTTATCAAGCCCAAAAGAGTCCTCCTTTTGGCATCTAGCAAACAACATAAAAGTTTGCTAAGACGTCAGAATGACTTTGGTTTACAAAACATAATGTTCAAAGGGGTCAGGAAGTGTGCAGAATTCCATTTCCTCCCTTTCAGCCCATGCTCGCAAACGAATCCACTTACCCACTACAACTAACAGAGTCCATATTAAGTAGATGCCACTGTTGAAGCATGTTGCATATTGACGAAACAAGCACATGCAGATGGGTGGTAAAATGAAAAACAAGACGTTGCTGATCTGGGGGGAGAAAATGTAAAACGAAAAGATGAATATTAAGTAAAAGGGCAAAAAGTAAAGCAGCTTGTTCCTAGTATGTCCTTTGCAAATGGAGATGAATGTGGCCATACATCTTTTTTTAACCAAAAAAAAAAAAGCACAACCAGGAAAACTCACAACTTCTTTAATAACACTTTAGGGGGCTCCTTCCTGCCTCTTTTTTTTTTTTTTTTTTGGCTGTGTTGGGTCTTCGCTGCTGTGCACGGGCTTTCTCTAGTTGCCGCAAGCGGGGGCTACTCTTCTTTGCGGTGCGCGGGCTTCTCATTGTGGCAGCTTCTCCTGTTGCAGAGCACGGGCTCTAGGCGCCGAGGCTCAGTGGTTCTGGCGCACAGGCTTAGTTGCTCCACGGCATGTGCGATCTTCCCGCACCAGGGCTCGAACCCGTGTCCAGACCAAGGAAATCAAAACTAAACAAAATGCATCACAAACTCCAGAACTTGAGGTGTAGTACAGGTAGGAATTGGCAACAACAGTAGCTAACGCATGCCTCTGTCACCATCTGGGAACAAGAGGGAATGGGAATGACACAGTCTTTAGAAAGGGGAGAAGGACAGAGTGGGAGAGAAATAAAGAGAGGACAAGACCTTTGGTCAGGGGTGCGATAGGAGCAAGGCTGCTGCCTTTGGTTAAAGTTCAAGACTGAAATCCCTCGTGGGGCTGCATCCTTCTGGAGAAGGGGGTACCTTGTTCTAGTTGGCCCATTCTGGTGGGGACCTTTTCCTCTTTCCCCCACTAGGAGCCCTCTGAGCTACTGGTGACCCTGGGCAAGAGTCTGGATAAATGGCCTCAGCTGTCCCAGGTGGCATGCAGTCTCCAGACTTGGAAATATAGCCGACTCTCATTTATTTACTAAGAAGCAGAGAAGGAAGAATCAGGACAAGGGTCTACATATTATCACAGGCTTTAACTTTCCTTGGAATCATTTAAAGAATCAGAGATCTTTACGAGTTAAAACGAGAGATCTTAAAGATCATTTGCTTTACAAGGGGATATAATTAAGGGCCCAGAAAGGCTCCCAGGCTGGCCAAAGTCAGAGAGGCAGTCACCCACAGAGCTGGGGCCAGCATCCAGCCACTCCTTCCACTGCCCCAAGCTGATGTTTTTTCGCCTCCAACCCACCCAACCACATTTTGACCTCCTTGGCTTCATGCCTCAATGGGCATCTAAAAATTCTGAATTGCATCACACACTGTGCACCTATGACCTTTATGTGATTTAAACACAGCTCTCCTTTTTGTTAAACACAGAAGTAGGAGGAATAAAAGGAGGTGACGGAGAGAAGAGGGAGAAAAATGTAATTGTTATACTATAAGTAACTTTCTCCTTTCACGTACATGAATGTGTTCTCCGTGTAAGAAAAAGAATACATTACAAAACTAAAGTCTTCCTTTCTATCCTCCTCCCTGGAGATATCCCCTCTTCTCAGATTCACAATCTTCAATTTCTTTGCATTTATGCAAATACATATATATATCATATATTACAACATTATCATTCTGCAACTTCCTCTCCTCATTCGACAACATGCCTTGCAAACTTTTTCATCTTAGCTCACAGAGCTTTATCACACTTGCTGTAAGTGCTGCAGACAGAAGCAGTTTATTGAGCCATTCCCCAGTGGGAGACGCACTAATTTGCAGCCTCACCTACAATGCCAGGGAATAAATATAAACAGCTTTTTACCCCAGTACAGTCATCCCTCGGTATCTGTGGGGGATTGGCTCCAGGACCCCCTCAGATACCAAACTCACCTGGATGCTCAGGTCTCTTTATATAAAATGGCATAATATTTGCATATAACATACACACATCCACCTGTATACTTTAAATCATCTCTAGATTATGTATAATACTTAATAGTGTAAATGCTATGTAAATAGTTGTAAATACAGGGACTTCGCTGGTGGTGCAGTGGTTAAGACTCCACGCTCTCAATGCAAGGGGCCTGGGTTTGATCCCTGGTCAGGGAACTAGATCCCACATGCATGCAACAACTAAGGAGCTGGCAAGCCGCAACTAAGGAGCCCACCTGCCGCAACTAAGGAGCCCACCTGCTGCAACTAAGACCTGGCGCAACCAAATAAAAATAAACAAAAAAATTTTTTAAGCTGTAAATACAATGTAAATACTATGTAAATAGTTGCCAATGTACAGCAATTCAACTTTTGCTTTCTGGAACTTTCTGGAATTTGTTTTTTCAAATATTTTCAATCCACAATTGATTGAATCCACAGATACAGAACCATGGATACAGAGGGCCAACTGTATATGTTTATTGCCTCAAGTTCTCTCAATCTCCTTTGCTTCAGCCAGGTGCAACTATCTATGGCCAAACTCCTCCTTAAAAGGCTTTTTCAATCTATGTTACCACTAGCAATGTACACAATAATAACCTTTAAATGTATTTACACACTAGTCACAAAAACATGAGGTCGTTTATTACACCTGCAGTAAAATTATGATACCTCAAATATTTTTAATGCCCATATTAGGGAGTTCAATTTAGAAGCACCATTTTAACAATCCCAAATAACACTGAAATCACATTATTGCTTCTGCACAGCCCATCTACCAGTGTCTGCTGGTCTCCACCATGCTTTTTAAAGACATCAATCTATGGCGACTTCCCTGGTGGTCCAGTGGTTAAGACTTCGCCCTTCCAGTGCAGAGGGGGCGAGTGTGATCCCTGGTCAGGGAACTAAGATCCTGCATGCTGCGTGGTACGGCCAAAATTTTTTTTTTCAATTAAAGAAAAAAAAAAGACATCAATCCATGAAAAGGAAAAGACCAAATTAGAGGGAGACGCTCCCCTAGACAAAAAGAGGAAGGAACTCCTAAAGAAATACGGAAAAGCAAACAAGTCATTGGTAAAAGACAGATTCATTTGTTGAAAGACAGATTCAATGGCTCCATGTCTACTGAGAAATGAAACTTCCCCTCAAAGTTGTGTGGCTCACTAAAGTTGAATAGTTCAGCCAAGGGGTATTTTTTAAAGCCTATTGTTGGATTATCCTTCGGAGAATTGGTTTGTTCAATGCCTGCAGAACAGATTTTTTTTTTTTAATTAAAAGGAAACCACAATTTTAAAATTTATTATTTCCTTAGAAAGTTCCTCATTCTATGAATTCCTACCAGCCATTTGTACCAAAATAATCTCAGGAACACACTGCAATCTCATCCTGACCCATGTGATTGTGCACTTTCCCAGACAGAGGGTAAATACTGACAAAGCAACAGGCGGTAAGTTTTTCTGAACAGCAAGTTCATGAACAGCTAGGGGCATTACCCTGGCTGAGTAGACTATGTATCTTAATCGTATGCAGATTCCTAACTATCCATTCCATTGCTCCCTTTCTGCCTCTGGAATGACCAACTGTCCTGGTATGCCTGGCACTGAGGAGGGTTTCCAGGACACGGGACTTTCAGTTTTAAAATTGGGCAAGTCCCAGACAAACCAGGCCAAGTTGGTCATCCGACTCAGAAGCCTTCCTGCAAAATCCCCTACCCCACCTCCACAGAACACCAACCCCCAGCAGAGTACTAATAACACCTCAGTGACTTGTACATACCCCTCCTACGGTCCTCACCATCCAGATGACTGTTTGCAGGTCTGGTCTCTGTGATAGGCACACAGTTGCCCAGCAAATGGGTGGGTGGGTGGATGGATGGAGGGAGAGACTGATAGATTGACTGATGGATAACTCTGCCCTACAGATAGCGGGCTGTGGGCTTTGGCATATAAAGAGAACTCTACTTATCTTGACGACTGGGGGCAGACCTGATTAGGAGAGGTGACAGATCATGGACTGATTTTAGGCATATATTTTGCTTCAAGACTTTTTTCCAGCACCAGTTGATTTCCTTCTGTCCCCCTGAGTCCCCAAGAGAATTCCCAAAGGCCAAGCTCGGTGATTAAAAGGCATACCCCCCTTTTCTCCAAAGCTGCTAGGTCTGGAGTCTTTCTCTTTAGTGTGACTGAGCCTTAAAACTTAAAACATAGGCTTCCCTGGTGGCGCAGTGGTTGAGAGTCCGCCTGCCGAAGCAGGGGACACGGGTTCGTGCCCCGGTCCGGGAGGATCCCACGTGCCGCGGAGCGGCTGGGCCCGTAAGCCATGGCTGCTGAGCCTGCGTGTCCGGAGCCTGTGCTCCGCAACGGGAGAGGCCACAACAGTGAGAGGCCCGCGTACCGCTAAAGAAAAAAACAACAACAACAACAACAAAAAAAACCTTAAAACATAAAAAGGAACTCAATTCAATAAAACTTGTATTTACTTTTTTTTTATAATAAAACATTTATAATAAACAACAATTTCAAAAAACTACTTTAAGGGACTTCCCTGGTGGTCCAGTGGTTAAGACTGCACTTCCATTGCAGGGGGCCCAGGTTCAATCCCTGGCTGGGGAACCAAAATCCCGCATGCCACATGGCACAGTCAAAAAACAACAAAAAAAAAAACTACTTTAAACAAAACTTTTTTTCCCCATATCAAACACCACGATTAGCCTAGAGATCAAATGGTCCCAATGCAGGAGTTTTGAGTTAAAGAATGACTGAACAATAAACACCTGTACCATGCTACAAAAATAAATCTAAAGCAGCTACAACGGCATGTGCCTCTTCAAGAGCAGTATTTTAGCAGGATCCAAGTTAGAACGTCCAAGTTCTGACTCTAGTTCTGCCATTTTCTTGACCTTAGCAAGTTGCAAAATCTATCTAGACCCCAGTTTCCCCCTTTACAAAACGGATGTAATAAATAGCACCCACTGCTGAGGGTGACTGTAGAGTACCCAGCAGAGCTTCAACACATAGCGAACAACTAGTGGTAGCCAGGAGTAACTAAAGTTGCAGTAGTGATGTGCTACTGCCAAGCTCCATTAAGAAGGTTCTAGATCCCCCTCCCAGTCTTCTCCTGATTTTACATCTTTATTCCTTCAAATTTTTTCTCTAAATGAGTGATGATTATTATTTTCTTGTAAAGTGGATAATTAGGCCTGCTGCCTTGCTATGAGGATTTGAGATGTTTGTCACCAATAGCTCGATGTCTTCCTTAATACAGGCGTAAGATAAGCATGGGTTTGTCCTATGATGAGGAACAGAAGGTAAGTAGGATGTGAGAAGAAGAGGAGGAAGCGTTTTTTTGGTAAACTCTTTGGATCGGCACTCCACAAAGTTTGATGGCCAACTACTTCTCTGAGACCCTCAATCTCTCCACTTTGCTAAAGCAAATTCTGCGGTTTACAAGTATTCCAGAGAATTAGGTTTGCCAAGCAGACCAGCAGAGCTAATCAGCCACAGACACTGCAACTGAAGATCAACAGCTCATTTCTAAAAAAGACTTTGGCACTCACTACGAAACAGCTCCAATGGGACTAGATTAAAAGTTAAGACAAAATAAGGTCTTCCCCTCATCCAGCACTCTGGGGCTTTTCAAGGCAGACCCAGAGCAGCTATACACTAACATTTTTGGCCAAATAACCAGGCCTGACTCTGCTGGCCTCAGACTCCACAGATAATTACTTTGCTGGGTGTGTGAGAACCTGTCCCCAAGCTGTCATTTCTTCATTAACTCTGGTGAAATCCTTAGTAGTACTCTCCACTTACAAGTGGAGAAACTGAGTTACTGCCGTTGAAAGCACCCAGCCCTGCTCCAGTTCATCCTCTGAAGGCACCTGTCCACACCTGATAGCATGCTCTGAAACAGGTTGTACAATAGGTGAAGGATGGCCACCTCCACTGACTGAACCTGTCACAGCGTCTAGGGGCAGCAGAGGGCCAGGTTTTCTTGAGGAATTAATCCGGTCATAAAAAAAGGAGGAACGTTTGCTGGGAGGGCAGCAGTGGATTTCAGCAAAGAGGGGAGGGAGAGTGCAGGCTCTGGATTGTGGCCCCAGCCATGCCAGAAATGTACGCAGAGCAGCTCCCCTCTGGAGAGCTCAGTTTTCTCATCAATGAATAAGAGAGGGACTAGTTCATGGGAGATCCTTCCAGGCAAGAAGTATTTGACTCACGCCAAGGACATTCTCTCCAGCAAATCTAAGGGGGAAATCCTAAAGAACAATCTCAAATTCACAGTGACTTTTAAACCGGGAGTTCCTGTTTTCCATGTTAGGGCAGTGAAATGAAAAGCCACAGAAATGACCATGCAAAGTCTCACATTTTGGTACCAGAATCCTGAGGCATGGGCATAGCAAAAAGAAGAGGCATTTCCTTCCCTACTGCAGGCTTTCTCTCCCACAAAGACTAAAAGCACACAGGATTCTGCAGTGGGGGAGTTTCGTCTTGCCCACATCTAGAGACCTAGGCAAGTCCATAAAACACGCACACGATCCCTCCCAAATTTCCCTTTCAATTCCCAGGCTTAATAACTGAAGAATGCACAGGCCTGGGGGAGCTGAACTTGGGGCTGGTGTGAAACTCTGTACTAAAGGCAAGGAAATAAGAACTCGAAGCAATTAACTTAATTCTGGCCCAAAGAAACTCGACCTATTATTGGTGTACGCTTGGGGCGGGGCCAACCTTCGGAGTGGGCCCCGCCCCAGAGACCGGCCGGGAGGTCTCCCCGTTCCCCCGGACTCCTAGAGCAGGTGCTCAGGGCAAAAACGCACAATGCGACCCAAGTGCGTCACGCCACAGAGATCCTAAGGGACGAAGGGAGTAGTCCTGGCGGGTTCACCGCCCCCAATGACCCAAACTGGAAGTATGGGCTGACACGGAGCACTGGCTCCGGGACAGGTGAGGACCAAACAAGACAATAGAGCCATCAGAAAGAAATGACTTAGAGGAGGATGAGCCCAGATGTCGGCGATAGGGACAGGAGAGGAGGACAGATGGAGAACTGGAAGGCGCGCAGGGGAGGGGGCGTGGGTCGACTCTGGCCCTGGAGCGAAAATGCCCCAGATGCATGCACAGACCCAGGTCCAGGCTCCAGGCGCCGCGGCGCTTGGGGACAGCCCCCTCCCGCGAGCCCGGCTGCCATCCCCACTCCCGCACTCCGCACCGTGTTGTAGAACTCGGCGATGGCAGGCACGATGGTGTAGTTGTCCTCGCACCAGTCCACCTCCGAGCTGCCAGCCCGCAGCTGGTCCCACCAGTGCGGGGAGCTCATGGCCGCTCTGGGGCATTGGAGAAGCGGCTCCCGCAGCCGAGAAGAGGCCAGAGCTGCCGCTGGAAACCAACTGCGGTGGTGGCAGCAGCGGCGTCGGCTTTATGCACCACGGGGCAGCCGCCGGATGTGGCGCCTCCTGGGCCGGCCTCTCGCGGCTCCGCTCTGCAGCGTAGGACGTGACTGGCTCGCAAATCCCTCCCTCGGCTCCGCCCCCTGGGGGAGCCCGCGGGACCTTGAGCTCCGGCCTCGCCCCCCCCCCGGAGGCGGGATGCGCGGGGGAGGGGAGAGTGGGGTTGGGGAGGCGAACTGTCTCCTCCTCCCCCACCCCTGGACGCGTCTGTTGCCAGCAGGTGGCAAAGGCCTCGACGGGCCTGCCCACGCCCCCTTGCGGCTCAGACTTGCAGGCGCCCCCTACCCCAGTTGCGCAAAGAGCGCCAGAGCCCGCCCTGGCAAAAATTTGAAAACCCAGAAATTAAGAAACCCAGGAGGACCCGGCCCCTACGAAATCGTGGCAGCCTTTGCTCGGACTTGCCTGCATGTCGGAGAACATGTCCGAGTGCACGTGGCACGCCTGCACTCACGGCCGAGAAAAGCCCTCAGTCCCTCTGGCTTGCTTGGTGCGTTGGGCTAAGGCAGGAAGACCTTGGAGTCTGCAGTGGAGCCGAGGACTCTCCCATACAGCCTCTGCCACCCACACCTGGGTAGAGCGCTTCTGCAGTTTTGAATACCTTCCTGCCCTCGGTCCCGTGGACTCCAGTGTTAGAAGGTAGTCTTCGTTTACACATAGGGTCAAACTTCAGCTATCCCAGTCCCCAAAAGATGCAGTGTGGCTGGTATGACACCTCCAGAACATCCCAGGTACAAGAGATGGTGACAGGTATGTTGCACTTACTCTGTGCCAGGCGCTGTTTGAAGAGCTTCCGAGTGTCACTCATTTAGTGCTCCCAGAGGGGATCCTGCGGAGTGGGTTCTATCAGCAATGCCATTCCAGCTAGTAAGTGTCAGCGCTAGAAATCAAATTCAGGATGATCTCAGATCTGCTCATCACTGCTTTGCTTTTGCTGCTGTAACTATTCTGTAGTTTCTAGACCAAAGCTAATCTGGTTCCAGCGATTCCTGAAGAAAGAGAAAACTGTCATTTTGGTTTTGGTCATAGCTCTGGTCCTTCTTCCTTGGGCAGTTCTAGGATTCCATGTCAAGATGGCAGTGGCAGAATAGGCCCTGGTCAGGTGACTGTCAGTAGGCTCTCTTTGCTCCAGCCGTCATGGTACCCGGAAGGCCAGAACCTCCCCAGAGGCTGACCTCTCTCTGGCTTGACAGTCCCCTTGGACCCTGGCTGGTGTTCCAATGCCTTATGCCCCCAGTGTCCTTCTTCCACAGGTACCTGCACAGACACTCACTTGTCTTTCCAGCTCTCCATCACTGGCAGAAACTACAAGGCCCACTCCTCTCCTAGTCTTCAGGAAATCCAGCTTTCTCTGCCCAGAGCCAGACCACACTCCTCCTTTCAACTTCGTCCCAACTCCTATCGTGTCCTCTTCCTAAACAGCCAGTTCCACTGTGTCCTGAAATTCAGGACCCAGTCACCTTCTCTTAAGGTCAGAATTACCCAGATCTGCAGGATACCCAGTGTGAGCTGGCGCTGAAGTGGGAGGAAGAAAACATTTCCCACAGACACAAAAGAAAAGTACATCAGTTAATTTCTCAGTGTCTCACAGTGCTACACCAACTGCCCAACAATAGTTCTCCATGTTAAGGTTTTACTCCTAATATTTTAGGTGGAAATGTGTTCATATTCATTAATTTTGATGGTGTAAAACACACCATCATTTCATATGCCAGTGGCTCTCAGAGTGTGAGATCCCTTTCAGGTCAAAGCTCATTTCCTATTAACACTATGACATTATCTACCAGGGAAGCCCCAATGCTGGGACATTCTTGATCTTACCTGAAGGCATCTACAGAAGGTTTTCAGACAACAGGCAGCATGTTTCTTTTCCAGATGGTCTTTATACAACTTGTTGACGGAAACATGGAGATTACAGTTGCCAAGTGTTCCCACCAGGAATAACCACTGAGTTTGTGTGTGTTCAGGCAGTGACAAAACATCTCAGTTGTCACCTGACCAACCATGACTATAAAATGCCATTCATTGTAAGATGAACCTGAAATTCAGAAATGTTACAATGCAGAACAGTGTGAGTTTTAACATCAATGAAATTTGGAATTTGCTGGATATTATTCATTCTTCTCTCCAAGTCCTGCTAAGAGAATGCTAGGGAGTTTTCCTCCTACACGGGAACTCTTATTGTCGGTGACAGTTCTGTTTCAAAATCAAAGCTGACCCCTTGGGTTCTGTCTAATTAAAACTGAACAGAGAGATGGTGCTCAAGCCAAAAACCATTGGTGAGCAGCCTGAAGGATGCAAGTTACATTACTCCAAATATGCCTGTGTTGATTTTCTTGGAAGCGTTTTAACAGTTTTCTGATGTTTTCATCCACTCTCTACATTGCTAACATTTTTTCAATGAATATAACCTTAGTCAATTACCTAATGATAGGTCATGATGTTAATTTTTTTAGAAATTTATTTATTTATTTTTGGCTGCATCGGGTCTTCATTGCTGCGCGTGGGCTTTCTCTAGTTGCAGCGAGCAGGGGCTGCTCTTTGTTGTGGTGCGTGGGCTTCTCATTGCAGTGGCTTCTCTTGTTGCGGATCACGGGCTCTAGGTGCGTGGGCTTCAGTAGTTGTGGCACACAGGCTCAGTAGTTGTGGCTTGCGGGCTCTAGAGCGCAGGCTCAGTAGTTGTGATGCACGGGCTTAGTTGCTCCGCGGCATGTGGGATCCTCCCGGACCAGGGCTCGAACCCATGTCTCCTACACTGGCAGGCGGATTCTTAACCCCTGCGTCACCAGGGGTGCCCCATGATGTTAATTTTGAAATGGACTTATATTAAGAGTATGTTGCCTTAGCAACTACCATTAATGGTTTAATACAAAATCTGATATCTGGAGTAAAAAGAGCTTGGGGAGAGTTGGGGTAAGGATGCGGTGGGGGGTGACAGCAGAGAACAAGGTGCTGTTGAGTTCTGACGATGACTTTGCTTCTGGTGCTTTTGATCTAAAGATGAGTCAGTGATAGAGATCTAGGAGAGAGCAGTTTTGGAGAACTGCCCTTGCAGGGAAGTCAGGATGCCAGCATCTTCTATTTTTACAGAATTTATAACTATTTTTTTTTGGTCTAAGTAAATATCTGATAATAAATATCCAGTTCAACTGGTCCCACAAGTAGAAACCAAAAAAAAAAAAAAAAAAGAAAAGCAAACACTTGTGTAAATGAAGCAAGAAGTGCATGATCAAAGATGAAATTTTCTGCATTTTTCTGTTTGGCCAGAGTTTTTCATCACTGGTCATGCTTTAGGCTTATTGTTTAGGCCAGTGACTCTCAAGGTATGGTCCCCAGACTGGCAGCATCAACACCACCTAGGAACTTGTTAGAAATGCAAAATTCTAGGTCCATACCCCAGACCTATTGAATCAGAAACTCTGAGGTTGGAATCCAACAAGCCCTCCAGGTGATTCTGACCCACTCTCATGTACGAGAATCACCATTTTAGCCAATGTGTGGTGGAGCAAAAATTCACTCTGGACTATACACTTTGCTTTCCTGGAAAACCAAATCCAAGCCAAGACTGCTGCTGCTACCAAGAAAAAGAAGAAGAAAAGAGGAGCCCAATGAAGGAAGTCATCCTTTCATCAGGCTCGTCACCAGGAAACTGGGGCCCAGAGTCTGGCCCCCTTCTCCAGCTAGGAGGGAAACAAAAAAAGTCACCAAGCATTTTTTTTTTAATAGTTTTTTTTGTTTTGGTTGGTTGTTTTTATTTATTTATTTTTGGCTGTGTTGGCTCTTCGTTTCTGTGTGAGGGCTTTCACTAGTTGCGGCGAGCAGGGGCCACTCTTCATCGCGGTGCGCGGGCCTCTCACTGTCGCGGCCTCTCTTGTTGCAGAGCACAGGCTCCAGACGCGCAGGCTCAGTAGTTGTGGCTCACGGGCCTAGTTGCTCCGCGGCATGTGGGATCTTCCCAGACCAGGGCTCGAACCCGTGTCCCCTGCCTTGGCAGGCAGATTCTCAACCACTGCACCACCAGGGAAGCCCTGGATTTTTTTTTTTTTAATCTAAGAAGTCTCCAGGCTCAGAATTATGGGGGAGGGCTGCAGGAAGCAGGACCTTGCCAGGGAAACACTAGTGCACCCACTCCAAGAAAGCAGCCACCTTTGCTGCCGTGGGTGCTCTCTGGTTGTTTACTGACAGCCGTCAGAGGCCACTTTCTGCAGTTGTCACTAGGCCTCTCTTTAGAAGTGCCTCTCTCCTTTCTCTAATCTGTGCTGGAAAACTGCAAACAATGTTAGGACTGGGTGTATGTTGATTCTGATAGGAAGTCTGAGGCTTTGCCCATGCCTGAAGTGCGTGGAAGTTGTTAACATGTGTTTTGACCTCTGCTTTTGGATAGAGAAGCTGTTCCTTTGTTCAATAACTGTAGCTTGCAACAGTGTAGCAGCAATTTGGAGCACCTGCTTTGTGCCAGGCTCTGTATTAAGTGCTGGGTAATAGAAGACAAAAATATCGTTCTTGCCCTGGTTGAGCTTAGTCTAGTAGAAGCACACAAACCATTAGAATACAACACGACAATTGCTGAAAAGGAGGTGCAGACACAGAACGGGGAAGCAGAGCGGTAGGGGGCCCAAGTCTGCACTGAGAGCCAAGGGGGGCTCATCAGGGGAGACAGCCTCCAGACTAAGATGTACAAGGTGAATAAGATTTTACCAGGCAAAAAAAAAAAAAAAAAAAGATTTTACCAGGCAGAGCACCGAGTGGGGCGGAGGTGAATTCTTTAGAAAGAATAGTATGTGCAGAAGGATGGAGGTCTGAGAAAGCGTAATAATTCAGGAAACTTCAATACTATGTTTCAGCTGGAAACGTGGCAGAAGAAGAAGCTGAATGAAACGACTAATAGATGATGTGAAAAGAGTAGGTCTTTAGGACAGAAACCTTGATGGCTGAAGAATAAAATAGACGTGAGAAACTACTGATAGGCTTCCCTGGTGGCGCAGTGGTTGAGAGCCCGCCTGCCGATGCAGGGGACACGGGTTTGTGCCCCGGTCCGGGAAGATCCCACATGCCACGGAGCGGCTGGGCCCGTGAGCC